AAGATCAATGGCTATCACAGAACCATCCACTTACTCAAGATAGATTTGTGTTCTACTTGATGCCAGACACAGCAGAGACAGATATCAGCAGGAACTATCTGTGATGAACAAGGGAATCAAATGAAGAAATGGCCAACTGAATGTAAAGATAAGTAGATAAAAGAAGAAGGGTGCTAATTTAAAAGAAAAGGGAAAAAATAAAAGAAAAGGACTTCGGTAACCAGCAATATGCCAGACTTGATCTTCTAAAACTCCTCCTACCTCAGAATATCCAGAAATGCAAAGTAAAAGGGAGCAAATATCCATTTGTAGGCCTTGCTGAGCTCTCATGGCAGTAAAGATCTCTTAGGAATAGGGGTGGAGGGTGAACTAAAATCCTGCAAGAAGGTCTGTGGTGGTTGTGGTGAGATCACCTACTTGCCTGAGTCTTACAGGCATCTCAGTCCAGGAAATTAGGTTTTTATCCCCTCTAGCCACACCATTAGTAAAAGGGTGGATTAGCAAAACACCAGACAAGAAGACAAGGGGCCTTTCTCTTCTCAGGAGGAAGAAAGCATCTCCCCTGAAAATTCATAACCACAAATTTACTCCCACGTATGTTAGGGCTTTGAATTTTCAGTATCTGCATGGTTCAGAAACTTCCCAAGCTGAAAGTTAACATAAAAAGTGCACTCAGGGTAACAATGATTCTGGAGTACCCAGAAGAAGCAAACACAAACTCTTAGGGGCATGCCTTCAAGAGACCACACAGAATTCTACTGATGAAACCTGGATTAAGATGAGTTCACAGTTCAAAATAGTAAAATACATGAGGAATCCATCTACCATGAATGAAAATCATTAGACAAATAAAGAATGTCAGATAGCAGAAGTATCAAACAGATTTATAAATTAAGTATGGTTAATGTTATTGAAGATATAAGGAATCGAATATATGAGAATATATTATTTTTAATGAGATGAAGGAAATGCATTTAAAATAAAAAGTACAATAATTGAAATTAATAGTTTAGAGCAGTTTAGACAGCGAGAGAGAGAAAGGAGAAATCTGGGAATGAAATGGGATAGAAATCTTAGAAAAAATTACCAAGAACAAAGCACAGAGGTATAAAAGAAGGCAAAACATAAAGGAGTAGCTAAGAAGGAGAATAAAAGTTCCAAAAAATATCACATATGAATTCTACAAAGAGAAAAAATAATGGAGGAGAGGCACTATTAAAAGATATAATGTTTGAGAATTTCCCAGACTTGTATGAAAATACAATGCCTCAGATTTAGGAACCAGGAGTTCCAAGAAAGATAAATAAAAATAAATCCATACCTAGGTACACTGCAGAGAAACTTCATAATACCACAGACAAAGGATGATTTTAAAAGCAGTCAGGAAGAAGGCAATGGCAACCTACTCCAGTACTCCTGGCTGGAAAATCCCATGGACGGAGGAGCCTGGTAGGCTGCAGTTCATGGGGTTGCTGTGAGTCGGGACACGAATAAGCGGCTTTGCTTTCACTTTTCACTTTCATGCATTGGAGAAGGAAATGGCAACCCACTCCAGTGTTCCAGCCTGGAGAATGCCAGGGCCAGGGGAGCCTGGTGGGCTGCCATCTATGGGGTCACACAGAGTTGGACATGACTGAAGCGACTTAGCAGCAGCAGAGAGGACAATTCTTGTGAGAAGGAATAACAATTAGGCTGACAGCAGACTTTTCAACCGAAGCAATGAAAGTTGGAAGACAATGAAATAAAGTATTAAGTGCGTAAAAAGCAACTGGAGCTTCCCAAGAGGCTCAGTGGCAAAGAATCTGCCTGCCAATGCAGGAGACGCAGGAGACATGGGTTCAATCCCTGGGTTAGGAAGATCCTCTAGAGGAGGAAATGGCAACCCACTCATGGAAAATCCCATGGACACAGGGGCCTGATGGGTTACAGTCCATGGGGTGGCAAAGATGAAGCACAAAAACAAGAGTAACTTAGAATTCTCTACTTAGCTCAAATACTATTCAAGACTGAGAGAATAATAAGGTATTTAACTGAAATAATTTACTTCTAACATATCTATCTGCTATAAGAACTCTGAAAAGTTGTACCTCAGAAAAAAAAATATAGAACCCAGAAGAAAAGAAAAAGAATAGAAAAAATAGTGAATGAAGATACTAGCAACCATGTTGGTAGATCTAAACAGCATAGATCATAATATACTAAAGTCCTTCTATTGTTTGGAAGGAGAGTGAACTGTAAAATATAATTAGACTATATTAAAACAAATATGTGTATAAAATTTTAAAGAGTAACCTCTAAAAGCATAGAAAAGGAAGGCATAAATTTCAAATCAGTAGAATAAAAAAGGTGAGTAAAGAAAAATTAATCAATCCAATAGAAGGAAAGAATGGAGAAAAGGCACAGAAAAAAACATTATCAATAGACAGCAAGAAATACAATGGTAGAAATGAAGTAAAACATATTACTAAACACAATAAAGGTAAATAGACTACTTGCCAATTAAGATAGAGATTGTCATATTGGATTATACAACAACAACAAAATCTAGCTACATGCTCTTATAAAACACACAACTGAAACATAAATATCCAGAAAGTTTGAAAGTAGGATGGAAAAAGATATATTAAACAAATACTATCAAAAATAAAGTTAATGTAGCAATACTAAGTCAGGCAAAATGGAGTATAGATTAAAAGTATTATTAAGGATAAAGAGAATTAATTCATAATAATAAAATAAACACTTTCCCAGGAAAATACAATTCTAAACTTGTAAACACAGTCTCAAAATTTGTAAAGGAAAAATTGTCAGAATTACAGGAAGAAATTGACAAATGCACAATATTGATAGGAGGTTTTAACACACCTTTCTCAGTAATTGATAGATCAAAAGTTAAAACAAAAATGATATGGAAGACATAAATAACACAACCCAAGCTTGATGTAATAAAACTAACTTGATCCCTACGCTCACACACACACACACACACACAAATATATGTACTCTTTTGAAGCAAACATAGAACACTTTGAAACATTTATTGCATAACTTGAACACAAAGTGCATATCAGAAAATCCTTAAAAAATCAGCATCACGTACTACATTTTTTTTAACGCAAGGCAAAACTCAGTTACAAAAATATAACATAGTTAAAGGCTTATACATTTGGAAACTAAAAAATACTTTAAAATAACCTCATAGATAGAAAAGGAAATAACAAAAAATCAGAAAATATTTAAATACTCAAATTGATTGTGGCTGTTTTCACAAAGAGAAGTAGACAGCATCTCTATAGCTATTTGGGAAAACTGTAGATGGCTAGTTCACCAAAAGCCAATTCACAGAATGATCAGAGAGCCAAAAGCAAAGTGTATGAAAGCTAAACCACTGAACATCGAGCTGCTGAAAAACCAATCTGAATTATTGAAAATCTTTAAAACTTTTGTTCCACTTCATTCCTCCCTTTGTTTGTGTGCAGAACTGCCAAATAAACACTGATCTAAATTTAGGACAGTTCTCCACAATCATTTTACAAGGCAGATACAGAAACCAAGGTGGATGTCGGCATGGGGTGGGAGGTACAACTAAAATTAAATGGTAGGAAAGAGGTTTCTCAGTCACTGGGAGAACTGGCTATTTGCAAATTGATTTTTGGCAACAGGATCATTCAGCACATAGGCTGTTGGCAAATTGCTTTAAGCAATTCTGACCCAGAATCTACAGTTGGGGCTCTAGCCTGGTGAGGTAAGGGGGAGGTTGAATCAAAGAGGTACCAAGCCTGTACATGCTAAAGGAAATATATCTTTCTTGGGTAGAGATACTACTTTTTTTTTTTTTAAGTGAGGGGATTTTAACGTTTATGGATTCTGAAACTAAGGGTGGCATGTGGGATGAGCTGAAAGAAGGGATACCTACCAGGAGGAAGCTGATCTCAGCAAGGAGGGCCCTAGGCACCAAGCAGAGCTGAGGTACCTACCGAGGGGCGCTGTGGCCTTGAGGAATCCTGAGAGCAGATGTTGAACTTGAACCTGTCTTTTTCCACCACCTGACACCTTGTGATATCTTCAGATCTTCAGGACCGTGGGCTGCACAGACATGGGTCCTGTGTCAGTATTCCCTGGGTGTGGAGAAGGGGGCTTTGCCCAGGGAAGGGCTGGACAGTCACTGAGGGTGTTCTACCCACGCGGTCTTTCCTTGGAGGCCAGATCAAGGTGGGCAACGTTGTACCCTGAAGTTCTGGGAGGTCACACGCAGCAAGGCCAGCGGAGACCCACGGAGGTTAGACCCACAGGGATCAACACTAGGATTTCTGGGCAAGAAATTCCCTTTCTCTGAGTCCAGAGGAAGAGAACTGTCGGGGCGCAGGCGTGGGGAAGGGCTCTCCCGGATGCAGGCGTTGCCTCCTGTTGGACCCCGGCTTCCTTGGCCCCTGCAAACCGCAGGTTTAGCCCCACGAGCCCGCCTTCTCTAAGCTGTCCTAACAGGGGTCCACCAGACCGGGGATGAGGCCCAGCCGGGGATCGTCTCCCTCGGACCGAGTCCGCAACTCTCCCCCAGACCCTCTGCGTCCTTTCTGACCTGGAGAATGGTGGGCTCACGCTCCATTCATTCAACACATTTATCTGAGGGCCTACTAAGTGTCAGGAATGTCTCCAAATCAACAAAACAGAGCAGCAAATAGTCACACAGGTACAGTGGCTCCCGGGTCAAGGCGAGGGTGAGCGCGGGAGCGGGGGGACAGACCTGAGCGCACGCCGGGGTCTGGCGGCCCCTCCGGCCCATCCACCACCCAAGGGGTCCAGCCTGCAGCCCCCTCCGCCCCTCTCGGGGTCCGCTTCCCCCACCCCTTCCCTAGTCACGGTCGGCTTGCGGGATGCGTCCTTAGGGAGAGACTGGTCGCGTTTAACCCGAGCATCCCCATCTGGCGGATAGGAATCGCTCAGTAAAAGTTGGATGCAAGAAAGGATGGATGGATGGATGGATGTGTGGATGCACGGGTTTAGTCCGGCAAGCATACAGCGAGCTGGCCACAAGGCGGATCCCGGCGCCAAGCCCCTCCCCTGGCAAGCTTCACCGAGTCTAGGCTGAACCAGTGGGGAGGGGGCGCCGCCAGGCTCGCCCCGCCCTCCCCTCGGCCCCCACCTTCCCGGCCGGCTCGGCGGCGCCTTCTGGGAAATGTAGTTCGCGCCTGCGCCCGGAGGGCCGCGGGGGCTGGTCCCCCTCTCCTGGGCTGCGGTGCTCTGGGCTGCTCCGGACGCCCACCCGCCCTGCCCCCTCCCCTGCGGCCTGCGCCCAGGAGCCGGATTTCCTCCTGCGCCGACCTGGATCGCTGACCGAGCGAGTGCTCGCTGCGCCGTGCCGGAAGTCGGGAGCGGAGACTGAGTCTGGGATGGCGGGCCAGGTAAGGCGAGCCCGGACCGCGCCGCGCGAGCCGGGACCCCGCCGGCAGCCAGGGAGGACAGACGATCGCCTCGGCCGGGCCTGCCCCGAGCGGCTCTGTGCGGGCCTCGAGGGTGGAGGGCGAGCCTGGGACCCGCCAACTTTGGCCGGGCGAGGTGCGTGGGAGTGGGGGTGCACAGGATTTGGTGCAGGGAAGTCCAGGATCTGGGACGCCCCCTCTTCCCTTCTCCCCGTCCCCGCTGTGTACGCGGACTTGGAGCTGCAGCTCCATCTTTGGAAACTCCTTTGGGTTAGGCGTCACCATCTCTTGGCGTGGCTTTTTATTATAAATTATCCTGGGAGCGATGGGCATGGAGGCCCAAGGAGAAAGAGTAAATCTGGGCACTTTCCTTCTTGTTAGGATCCTGGGATCCCGGCTGGGGGAGGGCATAAACAGGGTCCCAGGTTTTTAGCCATTAGGTGAGATGTGTAGGTTCGAGAGCTACAGGGGGAGCCAGCCACATCTGTCAAGCCTGGGACCAGTTTGTTGGGTGCAAGTTGTGTGCAGGGCGGTGAAGGTGCTAGGAAACCTGATGGTACCAGTGGGGAGTGGCCGGATGTCCTTTTGGGGGTCTTCTGCAGCCAGCTCTGTAATTTTGGCTCATGAGCTTGGGCCAACCTCAGGCAACTGTCGATTCCACGGTTTGAGGGCCCAGGAGCAGTGGTGATGAGGGGCTGGGGCAGTCTGTGGCCAGGTAGCGCAGCACTGTGCAGAGACCTTGATGGCATTAATGCCCCACGAGCTCCTGGGAAAAAGCGGGAAGCCAGGCAGATTAGGGGGCGACAGAGGGTGAGATGGTTGGATGGCATCACCGACTCAATGGATGTGAATTTGAGCACACTCCGGGAGACGGCGAAGGACAGGGAAGCCTGGAGAGCTGCAGTCCGTGGGGTCGCAAAGAGTCGGACACAGCTGAGCCACTGAACAACAACCGGCAGGCTGGCGGCTGTGGGAGCAGGGGCAGGCTCCTCTTCAGATCTGGCCGCACGGTTAGGAAACTGAAGGACACCCTCCATCACCACCCCCGTCTGCTCAGATGTGCCCACGGGCCCCATGCTCAGGCCTCCTCAGACCTCAGTTTTCTTTTCCGTACAGCGAGGGATTGGATCACTGATTGTTCAGATCCGATGTCCTGGGGTGTGTCCTCACACTGTGTGTCTTCATGGAGAAGGTGCCTGGCCGTGGCCTTGGGGGCTGGTAGGTCACCGTCAGATGGAGAGGAACAGGGTGCGCCTCCTGCCTTCCTGTCTAACGTGACTCCCAAGTGCCCAGGGGCTGTGGGAGCAGAGCCCACAGGTTGGGGCGGCAGAGCTCAGGGTCTGATCTGGAGGCTCAGGACTGAGCCTGAATCTTGCCAGGAGAGTGGGTTTGCTCTGGGAAGGACCTGCAGGCCGAGTCTGTGGCCTGGGGGTTTGCACATTGTGCTCGCTCCCTACCTTTTTTGTGCACGTGCGTGCGCGCGCGCGCACACACACACACACTCCTCTGCTTTTTTCTGGGTGAAGGCAGCTACCGATAGAACCACTTACCCTGGCCACAGTCAGTTCCCATTCCCAACTTTGTGGGACAAGAGTTTATCTTTTGGCTGAGGTGGCGAGTGGCCTGGAAACCATCTCTTCCGGATGTCTAAAAGAGCTGGTATATTTAGCCAGGAGACAAAGAGGCATTTGGGGTCAGGAGTGGTGTGTGTAGCTGGAGGTGGCCGACTGTGACCTGCCGGTGGATGTGAGGCAGACAGATTTGGCTGCATGAGCAGGAATCACAGCACTTACCACATCCCAGCATTTGTTCTGGGCACTTGTCTTACAGTAGTTCATTTACTCTTCACAACATCCCTATGAGAGAGGTTCTTACGATCCTCTTATAGATGAGTTTACTGAGCCCAGAGCTAAATGTGAAGCAAAGCAGGGGTTGGGATTCCAGCCACCTGGCTCCTGGGGTCAAGCTCCAACCTCCACACTATGCCTGTTTGTGTCCCAGAACTTCTTAACGCCAGATAATGCCAGCCATAGGACTGTGGTGAGCCCCCACAGTTGCTATGGGTATTCAAGTAGAAATTGAAGAGCCCCCTATTGTAAATGGAAAAGAAAAAAAAAAGTGAGTTAGTCACTCAGTGGTATCCAACTCTTTGCAACCCTGTAGACCGTAACCTGCCAGATTCCTCTGTCTATGGGATTCTCAAGGCAAGAATACTGGAGTGAGTGGCCATTCCCTTCCCTGGGGGATCTTCCTCACCCAGGGATCAAACCCGCATCTCCCTGTGGCTCCTGCATTGCAGACAGCTTCTTCACCATGTGAGCCTAGAATAGAAGTTGGCATTAAATGTTCACTACCCCTTAAAGTTATTCTGCAGTTATTGGTGATTTCTAGTTCATAGACGTGCTACAGTGGACAGCTCGCCCCTGGGGGGAGGAGAGGGTCCCATTTACTGGAGTAGTTTTCATTTCTGGCAGCCCAGGCAGGTTCTGCCCAGTCTCCAGCCAGTGACTGGACAGCAACTCTTCCCCAGGCCTGTGATTCTAAACTTAGAATGTGTCAGAAGCATCGGGGGAGCTTGAAGATGCCAACTTCTGTGTTCTGAAGGCACTGAACACAATCATGATTTAGTCAATCTAAGATAAGGTGAGAAATTCAGTCCTCGACAAAGGTAACTGTGAACCTAATTTGAACCTAAAAGCTCTTTTATGTTTTCAGTTGTTAGGTAGTAAATTCTGATGGGAGAATAAGGACGCAGACTGTTTTTCACCGGGTTTGCTAAATAGAGAAGCTGTCTGTTGACGTGAACTAGCTGGTCAAGAGAATCGCCACTCGGCTTTGCTCGGTTCCCCACCTGCTGCTACAGCCAAGGCCGTGCTATTAGACTCAGCTATTTAGCAGTGGCTTCCCTGGCGGCTCAGATGCTAAAGAATCTGCCTGCAATGCAGAAGCTGTTGTTCAGTTGCTAAGTCGTGTCCAACTCTGCGACCCCATGGACTGCAGCACGCTAGGCTGCCCTGTCCTTCACTATCTCCTGGAGTTTACTCAAACTCATGTCCAATGAGTCAGTGATGCCATCCAACCTTTTCATCCTCTGTCCTCCTGCCCTAAATCTTTCCCAGCATCAGGGTCTTTTCTAATGAGTAACTCTTTACATCAGGTGGCCAAAGTATTGGAGCTTCAACTTCAGTCCTTCCAGTGAATATTCAGGTATTAGGAAGATCCCCTGGAGAAGGAAATGACAACCCACTCCAGTATTCTTGCCTGGAGAATTCCATGGCCAGAGGAGCCTGGTGGGCTTCAGTTCATGGAGTCATAAAGAGTTGGACACAGCTGAGTGACTAACACATACACACACATTTATTTGTATTTATTTATCATTTATTTGTACTCAAGAGCCATCCTGTCTCCTCCATCACCATCTTAAAAAACTTGTTATAACACGGTGAATTCTGGGTTGGCTGGAGTTCCCATCCTGGAGTCAACCTTTTCTTGGACCTGAGCTGCAGGGCATGAGACTCTATGTATTAGCTTCCCTGGATTGTTTATGAAAGTACTTTCACAAAGCGGGGATGGGGACTTAAACAACAAATTTAATCTCTCACAGTGCAAGAGGGGAGAAGTCCCAAATCAAACTGTTGGCGAGCCCATGCCCTTCTGAAGACTCTAGGAGAGGATGCTGCCTTCCTCTTCCAGCCTCTAGTGGCCCTGGGCATTCCTTGGCTTGTGGCCCCATCACTCCTGCCTCCCTGGTCACGTGGACTTTTCCTCCTTGTGGGTCTGTCTCTGCTCCTCTTCTTATAAGGACACAAGTCATACTGGATTAAAGTGAGAGAAAGTGAAGCCTCTCAGTTGTGTCCGACTCTTTGTGACCATATGGACTGTAGCCTACCAGGCTCCTCTGTCCATGGAATTTTCCAGGCAAGAGTACTGGAGTGGGTTGCCATTTCCTTCTCCAGATATTCGATTAAAGACCTACATTATTCCATTATGACCTTAGCTTAACTAATTACATCTACAACGACCCTAGTTTTGAATAAGGCCACATTCTCGGGTACTGGGGTAAAGACATCAGCGTACCTTTTTCAGGACACAGTTGACAGTGACCCTAGTTTTGAATAAGGCCACATTCTCGGGTACCGGGGTGAAGACATTAGCATACCTTTCTGGGGACACAGTTGACAGCGACCCTAGTGTTGAATAAGGCTACATTCTTGGGTATCAGGGTGAAGACATCAGTGTACCTTTTGGGGACACAGTTGACAGTGACCTTAGTGTTGAATAAGGTCACATTCTCGGGTACCGGGGTGAAGACATCACCATACCTTTTTGGGGACACGTCTCTTGTCCCGTTGCCCCTTTGCCTGTTCCCATGTGTCAGGTGCTCACCCCGTGCTCTCGCTGCCCAACCCTGCCCCCCCGCTGTGCCCACCAGGGGACGCGGGCTGCGGGCTGGGTCAGCACGCCGAGGACGACTCCCGGGGCAGCCTTGCTGGGAGGGAACGAGCCAACTGCCCTGAGGTTGTGCCCACAGGTGTCGATCGCCTTCCAGGACCTGGCCGTGCGGTTCTCCGAGGACGAGTGGCGGCTGCTGGGGGAGGGCCAGAGGGCGCTCTACCTGGACGTGATGCGGGAGAACTACGACACGCTGGCCTCCCTGGGTGAGGAGCGGGCGGGGCCTGGCGTCGGGTGGGAGGGTGATGGCGCAGCACCTCGAGGGCCCAGGGTCGCCCGGGACCTCGGGCGGCTCGTGGGGCCTTAGTCTTTGTTCACACAGTGAGGTGGCATCCAAGAGCCTGGTGCTGAGCTGGGGGGCACCTCTCGGGCCTTCCATGCCACTGTTTCTGTGGATGGTACCAAGGGTCTGGGTGTGATTTGGTGGGGGTGCCAAACAACTGGCACAACGGCACTGGTCTTGGAGGTTCTGACGGTCCCTGGGGTCTGGGTGGTCACAGACACACATATGTACACACATGACAAGGGTTTGGGATGGTCACACGAACATACTCATGTGTACACATGCACACAGGGATTGGGTGGTCACGTACACATGTGTACATGGGGTTTGGGTGGTCACATGGATAGACATGTACATGTGTGTTCATGGGGTTTGGGTGGTCACACAGGCATGTGTGTACACATGTACACAGGGTATGAGTGGTCACATGTACACACGTACATGGGGTTTGGGTGGTCACATGGGTAGACGTGTACACACGTACATGGGGTGTGGGAGGTCACACGGATAGACATGTACACACATGTACATGGGGTTTGGGAGGTCACATGGATAGATGTGTACACGCATGTACATGGGGTTTGGGTGGTCACACATACACGCATGTACACAGGTGCCTGGATGTCTGGGTGCCTTGGCCTCTGGTGTGATGATGTAGAAGGGCAGAGGCCGGCTTCCACTCCCAGGGATGGGCCCTCTTTTCTTTCCCAGGGACGGCGGAGCCGCTCCCCCTCTCGGCCTTCCTATCTCCCTCAGAGCCTGGAGGAGCGGTGGGGGCCCGGAGCCGTGCTGGAGACGGGCAGGAGCCAACCCAGGGAGGAGGCCCCCTGGGTGAGTAATCTGTGCAGATGAGAGCCCCTCGGGGGTCCTGATCCCCATGGGTCTCCTGGGCCCCGGTGGACTCACTTGTGTCCCTCCTACCGTGTGGTCCTCGGCCCCTGGCTTCATTCCCTATAGGACACCATGACCTCAGCACTCCCCACCTCACCACACCCACCCTTCCCTGACCTTTCACCCCCGACCCCTCTGGACCAGGAGCCTGGTATACTGTTGCTTATTGTGTGAAGCGCTCAGAAGAAGCCTGGGCTCACCCTGAGAGAGTCTTCGCCCCTCAGGCCCCCTCCCCCCGCCACCCAAGCAGAGCCAGTTGCAGCCCTTGAAGGTCCAGAGAGCTCGGGCGGGTGGATGTGGTCCAGGGGTTGGCAGGAGAGGCAGGAGTCTGGATGGTGGCGGAGATGGGGAGGCAGCCCTCCTTGGCGTCCCCTCCATGGCCCAGCAGGGACAGAGGGACAGAGCAGAGAGGAACTCTGTTACCCGCAGCCCCCAGCATCTTGGTCCTGCCATGCCCACACGCGGGGCACCGGCCCTGAACCCAGGTCCTCTCTGCGGACATCGGTGTCTCCTTTGCGGCCCTTCCCGTGGTGGGAAGATTACATGAGATGCAGCGCGTGCTGACTGATGTTGGGGGGGCGGGGGTTCACTGTGGTCTCTTGGCAGGAGCAGCCCCCCAGCACAGCCTGCACCTCAGCGCCCTGGTACAGCTCGTGCAGGAGATCCCCGAGTTCCTGTTCAGGGAAGGCAGCCCTGAGAGCAGCGGGGGAGCCAGCCTGGATGGGGCGGCTGTGAGCCCCGAGGGTGAGTCCTACGGCGGGCCCCGCTGCATCCCACAGGCGAGCTCAAGCTGCCAGCCCGGCCCCTGGGTGGAGTTACCTGTTAATGTGAATGGCCGGGTGGCAGGCCGGTGGCCTGAAAGGACACGGACAGGGGAGAGACTGCGGCCTCTGACTTCTTCTAGTGGTTTCGCCACGGCTTCATCCACGCCCTTGTGGCCCCCGTCGCCTCCTGCCCTACGTGGCAGGTGAGGCCGTCCCTGTTCTGTAGATGAGTGCCGAGCGGCTGGGTCCCCCGCAGCCTGTGCTCTCCCCATCTCACCAGACTTCTTCCTCCCCCAAGCTTGCAAGGCTCTCCCGCCTCCCCAGGAGTCTGTCTCCCCCAGCCCCAGCCTGCAGGGTTTCTTTGCGTCCCCTCAGCTGATGGTCAGCTGGGGAAGATCTTATCAGAACAAGGCCACAACCTGCATCTACATCTCAGAGCCCAGGGATGACACGGCAGAGGTTATTGACATAATGGTCATTGTTGGTGGAACGTGGCAAGGAAGGGCCAGTGTTGGGGCACTGTACCTCCTGCCAGGCTGAATTCCAGTGTTCCCTCGCCCCCCGCAGCTGTGGCGGAGGACACGTGCCCTCTTCAAGACCTGCTCCACTGCCTTCCAGATACACCCGTGGGCCGGCTTGGCCTGGCCGCCACGCCCAGCGGCAGCTCATCCAGCAGCACCCCCGGAGCCGGGGTGCTGGGGAGCCCCTGCCCCATCAGTGAGTAGGACCCAGTGCAGGGGGCCCACACCATCTTGATTCTTTTCCAGGACTCGGATTCCTCTATAACTGGGTCCAGCTCCTCAGTGGGGTAGGGGACGGTGTGTGGAGCAGGCCTGGTGCTGGCCTCTGTCTGGGGACCAGCGAGGATTCAGGATGCTCAGCCTCACTCGCGGAGTGCTGTGGGCAACGCGCCTGTGGACCTGACTCTCAGACCTCTCATCAGGGCAGCCCTAACAGCAGGGGAAGACAAGGCTGGCCTTTGGAATTTCTCTGGGTCTCAGTTTATTTTTTAAAATGCTTGAAGATTTTACATTTGTCTAAATATCTATTTTTATCTAAACTATTTTAAATTAATATGGCATAAAGTAGCCAGTGCTAAAAAAAAATACCCTGTTTAGGGGCTTAACCTTGGTGGTCCAGTGGTTAAGACTCCGCCCTTCCAATGGAGGGGGCGTGGGTTCAATCCCTGGTCAGGGAACTAAGATTCCACATGCCGGGTGGCCACCAAAAAAAAGAAAAGCATGCCCCATTTAGCCTGTAGTTTCAGGTGTCAGCTGGCGCCTTTGCTCTGGGGTCCCAGGTGTCCAGCTTTGAGAATTGTTGAGTGCAAGGCTGGGGCCTGACTTGCTGAGGCAATCAGAGGCTGCCCTCACGGGAGGGTCCCGCAGCGAGCAGTCTTGTGTTTACATTCACACCGGAAGGAAATGGGGAAGGACTCTGCCACCCTTGGGATGGACTCTGGGAACAAGCCGATTGTAGCTGGCAGAGCCACCAAGTTCCCAGGACTCAGCTGTCCCTCGGGGAGCAGTTAGAAGCTGGGGAGGCCCATCCTCTGTGTGTGTGGGGGGAGTGATTTCTCAGGGTGTGGAGCCAGGGCTGGAAAGGCCTGCCTGTCTCTCCTGCAACAGAAACTGCCGACAAGCCGAGGCCCGTGGAGGAGGGGAGCCCAGGAGCCCCTGGCCGGGAGCCCGGCCCCACCACCTACAGCCAGGGCAGTAGCAAGAGCTGCAGGAATCTGGAGAGAGGGACCCCGGGGGCAGGTGAGGGGCCTGCTCTCCTGAGGGTGGGGCTAAGGATGGGGGGCGGGTGGGGAGGCATTGTGCGGCCCCCACCTGGGCCTCCTGATGGCCCTACCCGGCACACGGCATCCCTGTGGTCACGGGTGGGAAACCTGATCGAGGCTGGCCTTGCAGGAGCTGCGGGCATCTCTCCTGGGCACAGCCCCTTGCAAGGCCTCATCAACTGCCTGAAGGAGATCCTTGAGCCTGGGCCCCAGGGCCCCGAGGGACCACGGAGCTCGCCACCATCGTCCATCCCCAGCCTGGGTGCCTCTCAGCTGACCAGGGCAGAGCTGGGGCCTAGGGGCCCGCCCTGGGCCGGTGAGTCCCTGCGGACCTGTCTCCTTGAGCCAAGGTTTCTGAGCCCGTGGAGAGCTCCAGTTGCTCTCTGTAGATACTTCTCTGTAAATATGACGCCATCCCTAAGGATACTTGCCAGCTTGGCTGCTCCAGTATCTCTGGTGTCACATTTCTGGAGCCAGATGGCTGTGATAGGGGAATAGCATGGTCAGCATCATCAGCTTGTAGAAGAAAACTCAAATAGATTTTGCCCTGGATTCTTATGGGTTCTTGATTCATCCTAAGGTGGGACATCTGAGAATAAGAGGCTGAGGGGCACTTCTTGTTGACACTAAGCGGGATGCTTGGGATGGGCTTTGGGATGGGGGTGATATCGTGGGGGCTGGAACCCCAGCCCTGAACTCTGAAGCCTGGTAGCCAGGCAGACTGTGAAAAGCTCCTTGAGGCTTTGAGCCTCAGTTTCCCGTCTGTGAAAGGGGTAAGTGTTCTCACCTTAGAGGACTGTCCTGAGGCTTAGGCGCACTAATAATGTGTGTGTGTTTGTAAAACGCTTGGGCCTCCTCAAATTAAGTTGTGTTCAAGGCCAAGAGAACTGTCTCCAAGTAGTGAGCCAGGCCACCCACTTCCTTCATTCGTTCTCAGAGCAGAACCTCATCTTCCTTTTACCCAGCCAGCTCTGGGAGGTGTAGCCAGGCATTTTTAAACCAAGCGCTAAGACAGTGGCCCCGCACAAGGCTGAGTGAGTTGCAAGAAGACCCACATCCCCGGGTTTCTGGCCTTGGGCCTTTGACTGATCCCTCTTTCGGTTGTTGTCACCGAGACTGCAGTCACCGGATTCAAGGGGTCGCGTGTTCCTTTTTTCCTGTAGTGAAGACAGAGGCAGCCTCGGGTGATTGTCCCCTCCAGGGCCTGCTGAACTGTCTGAAGGAGATCCCCGAGGCTCGGGACAGGCATCCCAGCCCCTCAGGAGCCAGCGACCCACAGCCGCGGGAGGACCCAGGGGCCTGGAAAAGGAATTCTGGAGGTAAAGGCCGCCGGCTGGGCAGGGAGGCCCCTGGGCATCACTTGCTTCCTTTCTCTGCTCCAAGCAGACCTTCCACTACTAGACACTTGGGCCCACACGTCAGCGTGTCGGCTGGAGTGGCCAGACGTTGGGGCTCGTGCTATAGAAGGAGCTGGGCGTGTGGGAGGTGCATCAATGTGCAAACGTTCCAGGTTGGCTCTTAGAGTAGGAGCTGAGGGTTCCAGAAGGAAGGCGGGAATGGCTGGGAGGGAGAGACAAAAAGCAGAAGGCAGAGCTCCGGGTAGTGCCCATTCTGGGGCTCTTTCCAGTGTGGAGGTTCTTGTGATCGTTTGGGTTCACCGTGGGTCATTGGTATTCCAGAACTCTTGATAGAGTCGTTTGGAGGCGGGCCTGCTGGCCTCGGAAGCAGGACCTTGACTTGGTGCTCCTGGGGTGGGCTGGCTTGGCATCACCCCTTGGTAGAAACCTCTAGACGTGGAGGTGGGATTTGGTCCATCTGCTGGTGGTTGGGCAGTGACTGTCTTGGAGCTGAGATGGCTGTGGAAGCTGGGGGCCGTGGAAACCCCGTCCTAACCCTATAGAGACCTCATGACGGGCTTCCCACAGGACTCCGACCCCTCCAGACCCCTCCCCCGGGGCCTGGGCCTGGAGCTGGCAGCATGCTATCTGCAGTGAAGGTGGAGGACAGCTGGCCCCAGGGGCCCCCGGAGCCCACACCCTGTCAGCTCAGCAAGCGGCCCCACGGCCCCTCTGCCGCCAGCAGCCCCAGGAATATCAGAGACACCGCCCCCGCCCAGGTGCGGGTGCCCAGCTGGGGCCCTGCAGCTCAAGGTGAGGCCTGGGCTTGTCTGCTCAAGTCCTCCCGGGTGGGGTTCTCAGGCCCCCACGAAGGTTCTGCCAGCCCACAGGGAAGGGGCACCTGGCTGTCTCATGGGTGGACAGAGGTATCAGCCTGGCCTTCCTTCCCAAGCGGTTGTGGTGGTGGTGGTTTAGTCGCTAAGTCGTGTCCGACTCTTGCGACATCACGGACTGTAGCCCACCAGGCTCCTCTGTCCATGGGGTTTTCCAGGCAAGAATACTGGAGTGGGTTGCCATTTCCTTCTTCAGGGTCCCAAGTGGTTAATCCTGTCCCTTAATCTTGCTCCTTAACCCAGGCCCTTGCCCAGGGAGCCTTCCATTAGAAGGACCTCGGTTTTGCAGAGAATCCCCAAGTGTTGGGAAGCTGCCCATTGCATATGGCTCTCTCTCCACCTGCCCCTGGGCCTGGGTACAGCTGGCCTCACTCCCCCAGACTGGGGAGCAGAGAGCCGATGGGAACTGGCACAGAGGGAAGGGTGTCCTGCCTGGCAGACCCCACGCCTGGTGCGGGACTCGCCACCCCTGTGGAAGGCAGGCAGGCCGGGCAGTCAGCTGGGGCTGGGCCGGAGTGGGGGGAAGACGGGCCAGAGATGGTGACAGGCCATCTCCCCGTCCCAGCTGGCAGCGCCTCGAGCTCACCCCTGGAAGCCCTGGAGGCCTGTCTGAGGGGCATTCCCCTGAGTGGGTCGTTACCTCCCCAGCCGCCGGCCAGCTTTTGGTCCCGGAGCCCCCAGCCAGGAGACCCTGGGTCTCAGAGGCCCGAGCTGCCGCGCCGCGGACCACACAGCAAAGGTAGCCCGCGCCGTGGGCTCGGGGTGGCATTTGTCCTTATGCTCGGAACGGGGTCAGTGGGGGGGAGTGCCGAGGATGCCATCAGGTCCCCCCTTCTCATCCCGGGCCAAAGGTGGGGTGCACATGCCCCTGTCTCCCAGCCCCGTCTCATGCCTGCCCCCCAACAGCCCCTGCGTTTGGTGGAAGCCAGTTAAACTCTGCCTCCTGCCTCCTCTGAGAGCTTCCCTGACCCTCTAGGCCCCCGAGGCCAGCAGTTGGGTTTATGTGGGTTAATGAGCTACTGGCTTTTAATCAGGGCCATGAGCACCCTAACCTCAAGGGAGATCGCACGGGAGAGGTATTGGGGCAGGGCTGGGCGCCCATCCGCAGCCCAGCGCCCAGGGGACCTCTTGGCCCGCGGTTTCCCCTCGATGCCAGCTGTGCGGTTTCCCCACAGAGGTGGTCGTGGGGCCTCTGCCGGCTCTGGGCCTGCAGGGCTGCACAAGAGACAGCCCGGCCCTGCCCCTGGGCTCCCAAGGCACCCCCAGCAGCTTCTCGTCGTCCAGCAGCTCTGACGGGGACCTGGATTTCCAGACCCCTGAGCGCAGCCAGGGGCATCGGCCGGGAAAAGGTGAGCTGGCCGGCCTGAGACTGGGAGTGGATCCTGGGGAAGGGCGGGGGGCGGCCCTGCCCACCGCCACGCGTCCTATCCGACCAGTGTCCGAGCCAGGCCTCCACGCCCGGTACGGCTGCAAAGAGCAGACCTGTTTTGGGGGATGGGGGTCTGTTTTAGTGACTTGGCTCAGAAGAGGCAGGACAACACCCAAGATCTCTAGAAAGCATTTGATATTTCTCACTAGAAGCATCAAATACTTCCTCATCCCAGCCTTGAAGAAGGCAGTGTCTGTAACATCTGCCTGATTCTCCAACTTAGGGAAAATGTGTAAAGCCATCTTGGATGGTCTGTTTGGTGCCTGAGCCCCCCAGGTCCATCCGTGAGGGGACGTTGCAGGACCTCAACCCTTTTCTCCACCTGAACAATCCCAGGGCTCCCTGTCTGCCTTGTGCACGGACACCTGGTCCCCCAGGACTCACCTCTGTGTCCTGGCCTCACACTGTCAGTGGAAAGGCCTGAAGCCGCCCCGGGGCTCTGCCCTGGGCCCTCCAGGGCCAGCGGATGGGCTTGGGGCCCTGTGTTCCTGCACCAGCGAGCGTCCTTCTTGTGGCTTCTCCACCGAGCTCCCCGTCTTCCCACTTCCCTTTGGCGCTGCGCGGCCCCCTCCCCTCTTCCTGTAGCTGCTCTGTCTCTGGTTCCTTCTTTAGCGTCCTCTATTGGCAGACCCGGTTTTCTGAGTCACCCAAACAGCAGGCGACTTCACGCCGCCTTGTGGACGCGTCCAGCCCGGCCCCCAGCTCTCCCTGCGCTGCCCCAGAACCCCGCAGCGTCCGTGGGGAAGCCATGTGCAGGGCTCTTCTCGAGACACTGAGGTCCCAGCCCCACGATGCCCGGAGCTCTGGCAGCTTCTCTCTTCTCCCCCTCTCTGCCTGACGCCCGCATCAGCAAAGATGCTTTTCAGGAAAGAGCTTGGCTGAGATGTGGAAGGAAGGGGCCTTTCCTTTATCTAGAATTTCAGTTCATGTAGTGGCTATAGCTTCTCCAGCGCTGTCACTCGAAGTAGGATTTCTGCAGTGTGTTTTTATCCTTGAGTTGAAATGCATTCACATTCTCCTTCTTCACTTGCTGCATCTGTACCCTTTTCCCTCTTTGACTAGTCACGTGAATAGTGAATAGCTGAGGACATTCCAGCCTCAGGGCCCATCTCCCCCGTCAGTGGCCTGCTGGCCTGCTGACCGGCTTCTCTCTGTAGGCGGTGAAGATGAGGAGGCCTCTCCCAGGGCCACCCAGAGACAGGGCTGACACGGGTCTGGGGCCAGGTCTCTGTCTGGGTGCCCTGAGCCTGCGTGACAGGCCCTGGGCTCCAGCTGCAGTGGACCCGGGGTGCAGGCAAGGCTCCTGGGGTTTGCAGGACTGAGCTCTGGCCGGCCAGGACCACGAGTGTTGGGTTTTCACAGGAAGCCCCATGGGGGGCTCCCCGCTCCAGGGCCTGGAGAACTGTCTCAGAGAGATACCTGCGCCCCGGCCGCAGCCGGCCTGGCCCTGCTCCTCGGCCGGAGACGGAGGGCCACGGCGAGCAGAGCCCAGGAACTGGGTGGCAGGCACAGAAGGTAATGTGGGTGGGCCCATGTTCCGGTCTGAGATGAGATGACCTTCTGGAAGCGGCCTGGCCAGAGGCTTGTGGGAGGCCACAAGGCCAATAGCACTGCTGTCCTGGGAGGAGGGGCGAGCCGGGCCTGGACACCCAGCCCCCCGGTGCTGCTCCGAGTCCAGCCCTGAGCCGGGGCCTTGGCAGCAGGGAGTCTGTATCCTGGCCTTGGTCTCTGGCACGGCGCTGAGCTGTCGGGGCTCCCGGGAGGCTGGGTCCAGGAACAACGAGATCCTGGAGGGTGAGGGTGGCCCTGGGAACATCCGCAGGGCTGGGGCGTGTCCCAGTTCGGTAGCTTCATCCAGCAGTTGACCGAAGTTTGTCTTCTGAACAGTGCCTCCCTGGCCTGTGTGTTAACTCAGGGCTCCCAGGCTGATGGGCCTCTTGGCTTTTCATTGAAACAGGACTGAGGGGCGAGGCCTGTGAACCAGCGCACCTGGGACAGCGTGGGGGTGACGTGCCCGCCAGGAGCCTCCGACTGGCCAGCCCGCAGGCCCTGGCCTCTGGGGCCCTGTCCGCCTGTTCCCCACGAGGCCCCAGAGAGCTCGGGGCAGCCAGGCCGGGACAGTGGAGGTGGCTTCAAGACGGTGAGCAGGACTCTTGCCCAGGGACTCTCTGGCGTGTCCCCTCCGCGTAAAATCTTTGATGAGAGAATAGTCCTCCCCCTGCCCCTTCTGTTCCTCCACTCCTTTGCTGTCTCAGCCATTCCTGGACTGCTGGCTGCACGGTGTGTGTGTGCGTCTCCGAAAGCCTGCTGGCTGGAGCGCTCCGAGGTGTGCTGAAAGCAAGTGGGGAAAACACTGCTCTCATCCAGAGACTGGGTTTCTCTGGGCGAAGGACTGGTGGTTTCCTTAATACTAGTTGCCTGGGGATGGAGGTCGGTTGCGGGGGGGGGTCTCCTCCTCCTGTTGCTGCAGTTCAGTTGAACTTACAGTGGAATCCTTTCCTAGATTTGCTGAAGTGGGCGGGTCAGGCCTGACCTAATTGAGAAAGTGCAGGTATTTGTCATACTCCCACCGGGCAAGAGCTGGTGGACTTAACTGAGCCTCTCCGCAGGCTGCCGGTCCTGAATGAACACAAGTAGAAAGGGCCGCCTGGCTTATGAGCCCCAGAGCCCGGCCTGAACCAGGCTGTTAGTGGCCTCCAGGGCCTTGAGGCTTCTGGAGGTTTCCGCTGCGGCCTTCCAGAGTGGCTGGGGGCCAGACCAGCATCTGGCTTTGCTTCCCTCCACTTCCCGTGGCCACGGGATGCTGTTCAGGCTCCCCCAGAGCTTGTGTGGGGCTGAGCTGGAGGGGAACTAGCTCCTCGTGCCGGCCCACGGAGGCCAAGGCCCTCCGGCCTGTCCTCGGGTTCCTGGACAGAGGGCTCTTCGATTGCCATTTGCCCAGGGCCAGCCACCAAGCCTTCCCCGCTCCACTGCCTGGAGAACTCTCTGAAAGGGATCTTGCCCGGGGGGCCCTTGCGCTTTGCCTGCCTGGCCGGCCTGGGCCCCAGCCCCTGCTCCAGCTCCAGCTCGAGCATCAGCAGCTCAGAAGGAGAAGACTCGAGGCCGGAGCCCGAGCTCTGGCAGCCCCTCCTGCAGGGTGAGCTCGCTGGGGGGAGAGGGGGACCAGGAGCCCGGCCCCAGCGTGTGAGTGCCACTCTGACCCCGGCTCTATTTATGCCAGAGAGGGACCACCCTCCCAGCGGCAAGGGCCTTGGCCCCCCGTCCCCACACCATGGCGGCCCCCGTGCTGGCTGCAGCCCTGGGGAAAGCTTGAGGAGACGCGAGCCCGGGCACCGCTGTGACCTCACTGCAGGTGAGCCCGGGGTCTCCAGAGGAGCGGGGGGGTGTGTCCCCCAGGAGGGCCACAGGTGCAGGGACAGTCCCACTCATCACTTGGCCTGACTCTTGCTGGAAGGCTGTCTGCCTTTGTCACGCCTGAGTTCCCTGTAGGATGAGCCGTGTCCGAGAAAAGAAGGTGGAGATGTTGAGGCCCCTGGGGCCCCAGGGGTGTCATACAAGTGTGTTTAAAGGCCTGGTAATAAACTTGGAAAGTCAAAGTGTCCATCGCTCAGTCGTGTCTGACTCTTTGCAACCCCATGGACTGTAGCCCACCAGGCTCCTCTGTTCATGGGATTCTCCAGGCAAGGATGCTGGAGTGGGTTGCCATGTCCTCCTCCAGGGGATCTTTCCGACCCAGGGATCAAACTCGAATGTTGTGCATTGCAGGTGGATTCTTTACTGTCTGAACCACCAGGAAAGCCCAGTAAACTTGGTATATGTAAGAGGAGAAGGAAATGGCAACCCGCTCCTGGAGAGGCAGGTTTTTGCCTGGAGAATCCCATGAAAAGAGGAACCTGGCGGGCTACAGTCCATAGGGTCGCAAAGAGTCGGACATGACTGAAGCGATTTAGCATGTGTGCGTGCATATGTATATATGTATCAACGCCTCCTTGCTTCTCAGTCTAGTCCTGACCCAGTGATCATTCCCAGCAGGAAAAGCAGAAGAGAAGGTGGGAGGCAGGTCCCACTCGCCCTGGGGAGAGGTGTGCTTGGAGACCCTGGGACCGCCCGGCCCCCTGAGCAGCACTGGAGGAGGTAGGGGTGGGTGGGTTGCCAGGTCCAGGAAGAGGGGCCCCCCTGCACTCAGGCCAGTGACTCCACCCAGTCCTTGGCCTCCGAACAGGCCCTGGCTGGTCCCCACATTCCTCCCTGCCCGTGGGCCTGACAGGAGACAGCAGAGTGGGCTGGGCGTGGACCCCCAGGGCCCCCAGCACGTCCCTGGAGGAGCCTTACCAGGGGCTGGATCTGCGGGCATGGCGCTCTCCACCTGCTCTTTCCAGCCTCCTGGGAGAGCCAGAGGCACCGTGCTGGAACTGCAGAGAATTCTGGAAACAATGTCCACCCTCACTCAGCCCGCGGGCCCCAGCCAGCCATTCAAGCAGAGATGGGCTTCCTGGCGAGCCCAGTGTAACCCTCTTGCACCTCATTTCACCAGTGCTTGAAAGTTGAAAGTTTTGTTTTGTTTTAGGCCATGTCCAAGGACCCCCCGTCAGTGTGGCCGTGGCAGAGCCATGCGTGTCCACACCGGAGATGCTCAGTGCTCTCCCCGCACGGTCCGCTGTGCATCCCTGCCCTGCCGCTCAGCTGGGGAGAAGGCCGGGGCCTGGGCCCTGCCAGCCTCCTGGGTCAGCCCACGGGCTCCAGTCCTGGAAGCCGACCGCTGGTGAAGAATCCAGGGGCCTCGGGCCTGGGGACGGAAGACCAGGTGTGACAGGTGAGCTGGGGCTCCCCTGGCCCCTCAAGTATTGAGAGCCCCGCAGGCACGGGGTGGGGGTTGCGGTTGGAGCTCAGTGTCTGCACGGTCACCCCTCCCTCCTTCCCCACTGCTCAGCTCCTTCTGGTGGGGTGGGCCAGCAAGAACCCCCGGGTCACGCCTGGGGTAGGCTTTCTCTGAACATCCTTCCAGGCTCATTTGGGTCATAAGTTGGGAGAGCCTCACATTGAGTCCACTTTAGCTGGCTTATTTCATTTCAGGGTTTTCCTACAGGAATAGCTGGCTATTTTATGAAAGTACGCAGACGGTTCTTAAGGGCAAAACAAACACTGAATAGATGCATCCAGAATCAAAGTTTGGGGTTTGAGGGGACTTTAGAGACCAGGTAGGGAAAATGAGGGTCAGTAGTGAGTGACCAGGTGGGAAAGTCCCCAGAGATGCGTTCTGTATCACCGACCCCGGGAAGCTCTTCCAGACCACAGCAGAAGCGGGTGGGTGGGGCTCGGTGCCTGGTCCTCTCTGGGCTGTGCACCCCGATCCTCACGCTTGAAGCCTGTGGTGGGGGCTCCGGTGTGTCGTGGGCCTGGCCTGCCTGGAGGTACAGCTGTTTATCAGGAGTGCTGAGCTGGCCCGGGGCCCGTGGACCCACTATCCCGCCTTGGTTAGAAGGACAGCTGGGACAGCAGCACTGTTGCTGACCTTTAGCCGGGATCCTTCCTGAAGAACGTGGCTGGGCAGCATTTGTGTCCTTGGGCTCCAGTCTCCACTTTTGCTGTTTGAAGTCCCGGGGGTCCTGGGAGATGCAGGCCGGAGCTGGTCTGGGGACTCAGATATGGCTGGAGACCAGGTCTGTCCTGCGGCTCCAGGTGGTAACGGAGCTTCCTTATGAGGCTGGCCTTGGGTGAAGACCAGGTCCAGGAGAGCTTTGGGTGAAGGAGTAGGTGACTTTTTTTTTTTAAGTAAGTTAAGTCTTAAAGTTCTATGTCTATAATTTGATTAGAGAGGGTAAAGGTCAGGAGGGGGTGGGCACCCCTGTGATTTGCTTATGACTAAGACCTGGATACTAGGAAAGATTGAAATCAGGAGAAGGGGACGACAGAGGATGAGATGGTTGGACGGCATCACTGACTCAGTGGATGTGAGTTTGAGCAACTCAGGAGATGGTGAAGGACAGGGAAGCCTGGCGTGCTGCCATCCATGGGGTCGCAGAGAGTTGGACACGACTGAGCGACTGAAGAGCAAATAGCACTAGGTGCTGATGCGGCCCCGTTTGTCCCCCCGCTGGAAACACCTGGGCCTCCCTAGACGCTGCCCGTGGCCTTGCCTCCTGGCGGCTTCTCGAGGCCCTGCCTGCTGACCCTCCAGAGCAGAATTAGCTGCTCTGGGGCAGCGGTAGGGCCCCACCAGTCCTTTTCCTAGGAGGTGGGGCGGTCTCTGTCCTAAGCCAGCTTGGTTTCCGTGGAGACCCGGCCTGTGATCTGTCTCGCCTGTGAATTTGGGAGGCAGCCTTCCACGTCGCCCAGGACCTTCCTTCGCTTAGTGGGCAGGGTGACAGACACGCCAGCTGGAGGGACTCGGGGGAGGGAATGTCCTGACAGCTGATCACACTCACCGCCCCCCTCTCTGGTTTCAGCCGGCACCGACGGCGGGCCCCTTCCTGGGGGTGTGCCCCAGCCAGACCCCACAGCCGCCGTCCCTGGGGCCTTGCCTGGCACCTCCCCGAGGCCGCCGTGCCTCTGTGGGACCTCCCTGCAGCAGGAGCTCCGCAGCCTGGGCACCGCCCTCTCGGAGAAGCTGGACCGGCTGGCCGGGGCCCTGGCCGGCCTGGCTCAGGAGGTGGCTGCCGTGAGGACCCAGGTGGATCGACTCGGGCGCCGCCCGCGGGGCCTGGGGCCCAAGGGCCTCCCCCGGGGCCCTCGCTCGGCCAGCGGCCCTGCCCACAGACACCCGCCCTACTGGAGGCATAAGGGCCCCCCCAGGCCGAGACCGAAGATCCTGCGGGGGGGCCCGGCCGAAGGCTGCAGGGCCGGGGACCCGTCGCCGGGCCTGTCCAGTGGGAGGCTCCGTCGGGTGCCTCCGGACACCCCCGCAGCGGAGCCCCCGGGGCCCGGCTCCAGCCCTCCCCAGCAGCCTCACTCCTCGGCCTGCAGCGGCCCCGCTGTGCAGACTGTACGTCACCCCCTCGGGCACCCCGAGGGCCGCCAGAGCCCCCCTCCCCTTTCACTGCTGGCTGCCCCGCCCCCCCAAGTGGCTGCTTCGGTGGGCACTGCAGAGGCAGAACCACGGGGTGCAGTGGCTGCCCCACCCAGGACCCCAAAGTGGCCCAAAGATCCAAGTGGCCTGCTGGTGGGGCTCCAGAGATCCCTTGAGAGTGAACGGTGGAGTGGGGAGCACAGGGACCCAGGGTGGGGACCCCCTAACTGCCACCTTCATGGACTCAGCCCCGCGGAGGGTGCCCCACCTCCGGCCACTTCGCCCCACTCCAGCAGAACCTTCCCCACATTGGGGCCGTGAAGGGGGCCCCCTGACTCCAGGGTGACCATTGCTCAGGGAGGCCACCGTTTGGGGGGCTTGCGTTCCCCAACCATGCCTCTGGCTTTCTTGACTCAGGTTAATTTAAATGTCGCTTCCCCCTCCGGCCCTTGCCACCAGAACTGCCAACACGGGCAGGGGGGCAGTGTGCACCCACGTGTGTGTGTGTGTGCCATGTGTGGGCACGCCACGTGTGCCCGGGGTGCCCTGAGCCACTGCAGAGGGGCCACGAGAGCACCTCGTCTCAGCACCTGCCATCCTGGCCTCAGCGCTGCGGAGCGTGGCGCCTGTCTTCCTGGTCCATGGGGGCTTAGCTTCCCTTTGGGACAGATCTCTGCCTCCTGGCCGAGGCTGGAGGTACCTCTGTGCATTCTGAATTACTGAGGGTGCTTGCCAAGGGGAAGAAGGGCGCTCAGAGGGGCCGCACCAGAGTGTGGCTGTATGGCTGTCATCGGCACTGGGGACAAGCTGGCCCCTGCCTTCCTGCCTCCTCCAGAGAATCCAGCAGCCTCCCCGAAGTTGAGGGAAGAATCCCACCGACTTCCATCCTCCTGGTTCAGAGGCCAGAGGTCCAAGGCGCAGGTGTCAGCAGAGTTGGTTCCTCCTGAGTCTGCCCTAGGCCCCTCTGCGGGGCCGGTCGCTGACTGTCCTCTCGTTCCCAGGGTGCTCCCCCTTTGCTCATGCCCCTCAGTGTCCCTTTTGTCTAAGGACACCATCCGCAGGCCCTCCCTCTAACACGATCGCTTCCGTAAAGACCTCATCTCTAACTCAGGTCTCGTTCGTGGTCCTGGGGTTGTTAGGGTTCCAGTGTGTGAATCTGGGGACGGGGGTGCACAATCCAATCCCCGACTCACATGAGGGAGCGAGCTCACCTTGGTCCTGGTGGGAGGAGGCAGTATGGCCAGGGTCACTAGGCCCGCTTTCCTGGGGCCACCAGGCTGCCCTGGGCCCCACCCCTCCCTTGGGGGATCAGGAGTGACCTGCCTGTTGTCACTGCGTTTCTGATCTTTTTCCCCTGATCTTTGCCCACCGAGCCCTTACCTGATCTGAGGAATCCTCGGGACGGTCCATGCGCTCTGGGAAGGCCCTGCCCAGCTGTGCTGTCAGGGAACCAGGCACAGCACTGAGGCCCGAGCTGGCTTGGGACCCAGGGGGGCTGTAGCTGCAGTGAGTGCTCAAGGGGGGTACCCATTGGCTGGTTTGCCCAGCGTGCCCCTAAAATCGGATCTTTGGGGACACAAGCAGGGCCTGGCCTGTGCTGCTCATGGTCCCTGTGGAAGGAGCAGGCACTGATGCCGACAGAGGGAGAGCCAGGGGCCGGGTGAACAGACCATCAAAAGGGAGTGTTAGAATGTTTCCAGGACTGGAGTAAGTCCCTCGATGACCGTCTCAGAAGCTAGGTGTATGAGATCATGTAAGTGGATTGTTTAAACACACAGCCTTCACAGCTAGCGATAACTTGAGGAAGAATAAGGAACAGAAGAGGTCGAGGCCTTCTGCCTAGAAAGACTGCCCAGAAATCCAGCTGCCTCCAGGCTGTGTAGGGAGTGATGCTGGGCCGTTTCAGAGCCATCGGAAGGGTCTGATGGAATCGGCGCTGTGGACCAGGGGCTTGAGCTGAAAGGAGGGCTTGTCCGGCCCTCTGCTCGCCCTCTGTAGGAGTGGTGGGGTGGGGGGGCGGCTGACAGGCCCGTGTGACATTTTAAGGTTGGTTTTGTGGGCTTTGCAAATACCAGTCTTTGCATCGCCCTGCGCCGCAGGTGCAGAGGAGCACACAGACTCAGATGGGGCGAGGGGCTTGCTGGGGGTGCACAGCCTTCCTCTGGCTGAGTTAGGACAGTGCGCGCCCTGATGCCGCCCAGGCCAGGGAGCTCCCAGTCCGGCTGGACGCTGTGGGAAGTTCAGGTCCTTTTTTAAGAATGTGGAAAGTCAGCCATGAATGAACAGTGAGAGGTTCCGTGAGCCGCAGCAGTGTTCATCCCCCAGGTCCACTGCCACGCGGACAACACCCCTCCCAAGTCATGAATTGAAAAGCCTTCTAGAACCACTGATTTGGTGACAAACCCATTGGCAGTTTAGGAGTTTGGTCCTGTGTCTGTCTCCATCTACTTGGTGAGGAAGTGTGGTCACTTTGGTAGGAGAAAACATGGACTGTTGTGAACTCAGGAATTCCCGGGGTCAGGAGGTGGGGGGCAGAGAACCTTCCCTCCCCGGGCGCTCACGCACATGAGGGTCCCCCGTGTCCCAACCGCCGCCTGTCAGCCGAGGCCACCGTGAGGCAGCAAAGTGGGAAGGTCCTGCCTGGGCGGATCAGGGCAGGCGCCCACAGCCTCCAGACGACCCCCCAAGGGTCCAGTAGAACGGGGGGCCTTAGTCTCCTGTCTGAGACACCCCACGATGTCACCACTCTGGAAGGAGCTCGTCAGGCGGGCGGACCAGGCTTGCTCTCCACTCTGTGTCCTTGTGTTTTAGATGTGGCTTCTGTAAACAGCCTCCTGTTGGATTTTGTCTTTTAATCCAACTTGGCAAATTTTATTCTTTAGTCGGAGCCCTTAATCCACTTCTGTGTGATATTATTGTTGATATATTGAGATTTGAATACACCATCTTATTTTTGCTGGTGTTTGTCTCACTCGTTTCGGGCAGGGTCTTCTTTCCTGCTGACAGTGTTGTGGGTTTTGAGTCATTCTTAACCTCCTTGACGAGCCTCAACATTTAAAGAACTAAAAGGGGAAACATTCAAATTTACAATCTTATTTGGGAAGTTTTAGCAGAATTTTTCTTTTTAGAAATTGGTTGGACAAAGCAGGAAGGATATGGAAGATTTGAGCAAACCATTTCACAAAATTGGGTTGACTGGTGAATAGCTAGAATGTTGTACCACAGGACTACAGAATATTCCTTTTCAAATATACATAAAACAGTTTAAAAAATTGACCTTATACTAAGCCCAAGAGCAAGTTTAAACAAACTTAAAATTATTAGAATTATGTAGAGTATGTTTTCTGGCCCTACTTTAGATTTAAGCTAGAAGCAAATAACAAAAAATGAAAAATTCTTATATATTAGAAAAGAATTATTCTCCTGAATAATCTGTGTGTCAATGAGGAATTCATAATAAATATTTTGAACTGAACTATAAGTACCATGTATCAAAACTTGTAGGATTAAGCTAAATTAATACTTAAAAATGGGTAGGCCTAAGTGAGTACAAAAAAAGGTAAGGCTGAGAATTTACAAAAAGGACAATAGAGGAAATCCCCCCAAAGTTAAGGAGATGTAAAGGCAAGAGAAATCTGGGGAGATAACAGGTGCACCCATGGCTGATTCATGTTGATGTATGGCAAAAACCATCACAATATTGTGAACCAATTATCCTCCAGTTAAATTAATCTTAAAAAAGAGTAGAAATTACTGAAATAGGATACACATAAATATATAAAGGGCCTTCCCTAGACAGCATACTAAAAAGCAGAGACATGATTTTGCTGACAAAGGTATGTATAGTAAAGGCTATGGTTTTTCCAGTAGTCACATACAGATATGACAGGTGGACCATCAAGAAGGATGAGTGCCAAACAATTGATGCTTTCAAACTGTGGTGTTGGAGAAGACTCTTGAGAGTCCCTTGGACTGCAAGGAAAGACAACCAGTCCATCCTAAAGGAAATCCGTTCCTAAATATTCACTGGAAGGACTGATGCTGAAACTGAAGCTCCAATACTTTGGCCACCTGGTACAAAGAGCCGGCTCACTGGAAAAGACCTTGATGCTGGGAAAGATTGAGGGCAGGAGGAGAAAGGGATGACAGAGGGTGAGATGGTTGGATGGCATCACCGACTCAATGGACAGGAGTTTGAGCAAACTCCAGGACATGGTGAAGGACAGCTGGTGTGCCGCAGTCCATGGAGTCACAGAGCTGGACGTGACTTAGTGACTGAACAACACAAATAGATATAATTAAGAAAGCCAGAAAATTTGGTTTTAACAAAACTAATAAAATTAGCCAGTTTGTGGCGTGATTCATCACTAAAAAAAAAAAAAAAAGGCAGAACTCACCCATCTCAAGAAGGAAAGAGTTGATGTCACTGCAGATTCTGGTATAGACTATATGAAGATAAAGATATTGCAAACTTTGCCAAAAATTTGAAAACTCAAACAACTTCCACAGGAATACAACTTACCAAGAGAGACTTAGGAAGACATAGCAAACCTGACTAGTCTCACGCTGTTGGAAAAATTGCATTGGTGATCAAACACCTTCCCCAAAATGATAGACCTAGAAAGCTTCACTGGTAAGTTCTACCTCATTTGAGGAGGTTATTTCAGTAATATGTAAAGTATTCCAAGAAACAGAAAAATATAGAATACTTGGACTCATTTTGTAAAACTAGCATAATCTTGAAACCAGAACTTGAGAACAGTACAAGAGAGGAAAGTCACAGGCTAATTTCCAAAAATGTTCAAGGAAGCAAAAATCTCAGAGTATTATCCAACAATGCAGCAGTTTATAAAAAGAAAGAAACATCACGACTGAGTTGGGTTGATTGCAGAGATTCACAGATGGTTTTAACATTTGGAAATCACTAGTCATAACCCATCGTAATAAGAAACGTCACATGATCAATAGCTGCCTAAAGATCATTGATAAGAGTCTACATCCATAAATACTCTAAGCAGACTGGGCTTCCCAGGTGGTACTAGTGGTAAAGAACCCACCTGCCAACTCAGGAGACGTAAGGGACATGGGTTCAAGCCCTGGGTCGGGAAGAGAGGAAGGCATGGCAATACTCCAAGGTCTGGAGAATCCCATGGACGGGGGGCCTGGGCCATGGGGTGGCAAAGAGTCGGACACAATTGAAACACTTAGTTATGGACACGACTTAGCACGTACAAGTTGTGCAAACTAAGGACGGACAACACTTAGAGCAGAGAAGATGGAGTGTTGGGTCCAAGCCGGGTGGACACAGATGCTCCAGGACC